AAACTTGGACTTAAGAAAATTGTCAACGTTTCCCAAAATTTTCAAAGATATCTTGAGTTTTTCATTAGTGAAAATCAAAATGCCAAAGAAACAACAAAGAGAAAAAAACAAAACCACTAAATTAAATCCTTAGAAAAGACAAACCTAGTAGAAAAGATTATTCTTTTCACAACTGATACCTATGGAGTAATTTTTCTTGGCATTGTGGACATACTGTTTTCAGCGGTTTTTCATTGAGGATAAGTAATCCTGAAATCAAACTAGGTTAAGTGGAACAGAGAGATCTATAGCATTCCAAAAACACTCTATATTGTACGTATGTCACATTATCTGATTTTTCAGAAGGCAGAGTAGTTAATGAACAATGTAGAGTAAAATGCAGGAAACCTGCGCTGATATCCAGGGCCACCACTAACTTATTCATGATCCCTTAGCTGACAATAATGTCTCCAAGCCTGTTTCCTCATTTATATTAGACAAATTCTAATATCCCTTACTGTTCTAAAAATTCTATGAGTACATGGGAACCACATGTATATAGTTAATGGGCCTCTCTTCATAAAGGACATAATTACTTTATTCCTTTTCGCAATAAATTAACCAAATTGATTCATTGTTGAATCAGTTTGGGCATCAGTGGTCTAAAACACTGTCCTCCTGTGATTCCAATGTGCCATCAATTTGGGAACCAGCGGATTAAAGCAGTGACTCAAAGTGCGGTGTCTGCTCAGCGAGAGCAGCGCTATCTGGGAATTTTTAGAAATGTTCAAACTGTTGTATTATTTTCTGAGAAACTTGAAGTACTTCATGTATTCTGAAACAAATTCCCCCATGAGCTAAAACAGAAAAAAACATCCAATGAACATGACCTAAGTCACTACTTTTTTTTTTTTAGGATTTAATTTTCAGAGGTGAAAACAGAAAAGAGAGCTTTTGGCTTAAACCATTCATGAATGGGCAAGGTAAAATAATAGCAAATTCTTGTAAGCATGTAGTATGATGACCAGGCACTGTTAAAAGAAACTTATATATGTCAACTCGTTGACTCCTCTCAGCAGTCCTGCGGAGGCAGGTACTATGACCCCATTTTTACTAATTAGAAAACAGAAGTGAAAAAATTTTAGGCAACTTGTCCAAGTTCACATAAACGGTTAAGTCACAGAGTCAGGATTCAAGGCTAGGCCATAAGTGTGAAGAGTGTGTGTCCTTAACACTGAGGTGAAGAAAGTTGAGAAACTCAACCTCCATGGCTAATCTTTGAGTGAGACCGGACCACCTGCCAGAAATAAACATTTCAGCCTTGTTTTCACAAGAATTATAATGAATCAAGCTAAAGAATTACTATTGCACACTGAACAGTATAATCTAAAGATAATAAATATGAAAATAAAAACATGTATCCATATTCCATGATGTGTTTTACTCATAAGACTTTCAAGATCGGCCTTAATAGTAAAACTATCCACTTTCAAACAAATAGGATCCTCAAAATGAACCTAAATGAATTCCAGGTAATGCTCCTCAAAACCTTTATAAGTGAGCCAGATTATATAAAACAAGTCCAGGGGCCGGCCGAGTGGCTCAGTTGGTTAAGAGCTCGCTCAAGAGTTTGAGCTCTGAGCAACAGCGGTTCAAGTCCAGCCCGAGCTGAGCAGCCGCTGAGCTGCCAACAGGTAGCAGGATGGCTCAGCTAAAAAAAAAAAAAAACAAGTCCAATTAAGCTACGGTTATCTCTGCTCGGGGCCTTATGCTTACAAGTGAAGAATTATAAAATTACTGTGGAGCTTTGCAATATTGATCATTCCTAATTGGCCACATCCTGTCTCTGAATTTTGACATCATCAACTTTCTTAGCTCTTCAGTTAAATTATCCAGAACACAAAATTTGATGACTGAGAGCTTGAATTTGCTTCCACGTGTCTTCATTTCTCCCATCAAAAGATTTGCCTCTAATCTTCCCTTTTCATCCCACAGCTACTCATTTCATACATAGTGAGCCAAACAGAAAACCCTACTTCCATTAAATTGTAATCACATTTAATTTAATAACATTAAATTCTAATTATAGTCAATTTAATAACATTAAATTGTAATTTCAAAAGCATCCTAATAAAGACCTGATTTCCTGAATGGAGGAGTTACTAAAATGGTTATATGCTGGAACTTGGCTTATGTCTAATCTTCCAGAAGTCACATAAGATTGGTAATCGGCAGGGTAAAACCTCTTGCATTTAAAGATGGAAGACAAGCCATAAAAAGGCACTCAAGTTAGAAATCTAATATTCAGATTATCACTGAAATTAAAGAAGAATCAAGACTAATTTCAAAGTACAGAATCATTTGGCATCCTTTTTGTAATTAATACCATAAATTTCTTTTCAGTAGAACTATAATATTTGGCCCTAAAAGGATCACCCAGATTAGTTGCAATCAAATAATGTGAAAGGAATTGCTTTGTGTGTGTATAGTTTGTAGCATTTTGAAATTATTGTGGTTAAAGAGGAAAAGGCTTCTTAAATTACCTCGCCTACCCATTTTGCCATGTTAGGCCTGTCCTTGCTGTATGGCCTCATTTTGCTTTGTCTTATATTGTCTTGAACAAATCTTGATGTAACCGGTTAAGGTTTCATTTTATTCTCTCTCACAAGAACCTAAGAAATGCCAGATAGTACTTCTAAACTGGTTCTCTTGGAGGTCACATCACGCCACTTTTAGATGCTCTTTTACCATATAAGTGTTCTTTTATAAGGAATGATAGATTTTAAGGCTATTTAAAAGTGAATGTTAACATTATAAACTCCACCACATGGTGAAATCCTACACCACAGAGAGTGAGTAGATAAAGACAGGCTGTTCATTTGAAGCTCAGCTACTTAAAATTCTTTTCTAGAAAGTTCCTATAAAACATGCAATAAAATTATGAAGACAATTTGAGGATGTCCATATGTTCACATTCAATAAAAAGCAAAAACTGTGACTTCGACGGATGAGGTTGGCATGTAAATACAAAATCTGACCATGTTATCAATAAATTGTAATTTTCATTTCAAGGTGTTTGGAAATTAGGTTTTTGTTTCGTTTTCAGTTTGTGTGTGGTTTGTGCATATTTTAAGCTAACAAATATTCAGGTTACTATGCCATACTCTAGAAGCATTATTTCATTTAACTCTGGCAACAATGTGGAAAATATGAAGTATGCACTGAATTGTAGTCCCCATTTTACAGATGAGGACAGTGTGGCAACCATCCATGAGCCTGGAGAACCAGAAGAGTAGGTCTCAAACCTGAGGTTTGAGCCTCAGACCACAGCCCCTGTTCGTAACCACTAAAGATGTTTCCCCCAGTTCTCTAAATACAAGCTTAGTACCTGTCCTTTCACAAGTTATATACCTCAATCACATATTTGCACAGAAAATCGCAACTTGGAAAACAATCTCTGTACAGAAAGTTTTGGTACAGTTAGCATTGAGTTCACCATTGCACACATGTGCTGGGCCTGGAGTCATGCCTAGTCTAGCTTTTTTATCCAATATTAGATTTTCTAATCCATTTAAGCCTATTTGCAAAGTCATTCTATTTCTGTACTAATGACTTAGAAGCAGCTGGAATTTTTTTAGCCAAAATTTTGAAACCTCAGGTCTCTACGAATAGAAAAAAAGGAACCATTTGAGACATCCCAGAGAGACCTATAATGCTGAATTCCCTTTCACTTTGGAGAATTGGCACAAATTCCTTAATCCTCCAATTGCTTAAAAAAAAAAAATACGGCATATGAGTCCTGTAATGTGCACTAATGACAGGGATGATCTGGGATCATGTCATCGGGGCCCAAAATTCATATTACTACAGCTAGGAGACTTATGTACATTCCTTCTTTGGTCTCAGTTCAACTCCTGAAAAAAAGAAAACTCATCTCTCCTAAAGCAAGTGTACAAATTACACTATATAAAAATTGTTCAAGATGATGGCTAAGCCTCTGCCCTTTACAGGATCCTTCAAAGTCCATAGTGTGTGTGTGTACATAGATATAGATCTATATATACAGGTATATCTATATATACATATACATTTATATATACATATATATTTGTGTGTGTGTGTGTGTGTGTGTGTATATATATATATATATATATATATATATATATAAATATTTAAAATATATGTAAACCCTATTGATGAATACATTAGATTTTCTGAAAAGTGGTCTGTTTCCTCCTCCCTCTGTGAAGGGCATTAGCAGGTGCTTGTCCTGACCTTAACTGCGATCCAACCCAATTTCTTAAAAGTGAGCAACTACTAGCCTCTCCTGGAGGGCTCCTTAAAACCCAGAGAGCTGTCCCTATTCCCGAGTTTCAGCCGTTGAGTTTGCATTTCTGAAAGTTCCCAGGTGATACTGATGCTGCGGGCCAGAGACCACACCTGGAGAAGCACTGCTCTAACTCAGTGGTTCCCAAACTACTGCACCTGGGAATCACCTGAGAACACTTTTTAAATGTGGATGCCCGAAGTCCCACTCCCAGAGATTCTGATTTGGTTGGTCTGGGGTGCTGCTCAAGCACCGAATTTGTTTTTTTAAAAGCTCCCCAAGTGAGCCTACTGTGCCGCAAGGGTAAGGAACCGTTGGTCCGCCCCACACAGTCCCCGGTGCGTCCCTTTCCCGGGAGCGCCACGTGTAGACGCCGCAGTCCCTTCCAAGCAGATAGGCAGAGGAGGATGAGCTTAGAGTAGTAAATCCCCCCACTGTTATTCATTTACTCAGAGGCTAAACACTCCGATGCTGAAATCAGCGCTCAGGGAACCTCTTAAGATTCATTAACGCCCAGTAACTTTGCCTGCAAACCCTGACATGCCAGCCTACAGCCTGGGCGCGGAGTCCTCACCGTTCACCAAAAACTGCACGCTCTGAACACCCAAAATGCCTGTTGCAGCCCCGGGAGGGCCAGCCTTGAAGCCCACTTGTCATTCTGGCAGAGAGAGGGGAGAAAGCGACGTCACCTTACCTGGGGCGACGTCCAGGGTGGAGGTTGCCGTCGCAGCCAGCTGCGTGCTCCACCAGGGCTATGGGGGCGTCGCAGGCGGTGACCAGCCCCAACCTGGACGAAAACCGGGCTAAAGCGGGTTTGCCGCCCTCCGCCCGGAGTCCCCGTCTCCTGCAGCGGCCAGTGCAGAGCGCCGCGGCTCTGAAACTCGCTCTCAGCCCCCTGGAGGCGGAGCCCGGGAGATAAGGTCCGCGCTCCCCACCCGCCCCCTTTCCGGGGCGAAGGCCAGAGGGTGGGCTTTGGATCTGGATCTCCAAGTGCCAACTGCCAAGTGCAACCCTGGTAGAAAACATGCTCAGTTCAAATCCTGCTAGGACCAGAAAATGCACCCCTGGGGGAAGGCGGAAAGAGGGACAAAGCGGCAAACAGGAGAGATAAAGGCAACTCAGAGGTTGAAAGGGCAACCGCAAAGGGAGGCAAGGACCTGGAGGGCGTCCTCTGCACTAATTAAAGGAGGCCTCCTCCCTCGGCCTGTGAGAACCGCCCCTGGAGCGCCAGGGTCAGTCATCCAGATCCGACACCAACAGCAAACGGATGTAGCTACCTTTAACCTAAGGTGATCGCTGCCGGAAAACCTGAGGGGAGTACGCTTTCAGGCAGCCTGATAGGCAGTTATCTTGGAGGACTTAGGAGATGCAAGGAAGTCCTGGAATACGGTGACTGCCTTATGACAATAAAGGGATGATCGGTACTCTGCCCCTTTTAGTCCATTCTTCACAGAGCAGCCAGAAATTTCTTGAACATTCCTGTGCTTAGAACACCAATGGGCTCTGACCCCTCAGCTGACTCTCATCTGTCACTTTCCACATTTCTCACTCTGCTTCCCCCTCAACCCCCAATACAGCCTGTTTGCCCTTCCTTACACACACCTGTGTGCTCTCCTTTCCCTAGCTAGTTCTCCTGCCTCCAAAGCTCTGTGGCAGACCTTACCTTAATTGCATGCTTCTCTCTTCATTTAAGTCTCAAATGTCACTTCAAGTCCTTCCTGCACAACCAATCCAAATTGAACCCCTCACCATTCCCATCCTCTAACCCCACTTTTTAAAAACAGATCACTTGTCACTATTTCACATGTTATTGTTTGTGGTTCCTTTGTTTTGCTTCCATCTCAAGGTAAGCTCTGTGAGGACAGAGAATCGGTCTTGTTCTCAGCTTTATCCTCTCCATCTAGAGTAATGCCGGGAATATAGTAGGTGCTCAATAAATGTCTGCTGAGTGAATGTGTGAATTAATATCTCCCCAGGGAAGAAACTTGACAAATGCTTTCCTTCGGTAAATCAATTCTACTGAATTCAGGGTAATAAATAAACATATTGGGATGATCATCATTTCCTGCATTTCTTCATTCATTCATACATTCATGTTCTAGTCTACTATTAGGCAAATATGTTTCTTCATGGGCCATATCAATGAAAATACAATAATTTTTCAAATACAACAATACAATTTCAAATGCAGAAATATAAAGACATGGATAACAATTTCCTAATATTTTTATTAATGAAAAGAATGCATTCCAAACTCTCAGCAAATGACCTCTTTTACTTTGCAGAGGAAACTGAAGCCTGCCCAAAGCAAATGTATACCAACTGATTCTGCTTTGCATCTATTAAAACAGAAAAGGGTGGGGGGGGGCGCTTATTCTCTGTATCCTGCCTCATTCTGTCTCCTCAGGAACTACCCCATTGATGGTTTTACCTCCTCCTGGATCTTTTAACCTCTTCCTCTTAAATTACTTACTTGAACTTACTCCAGGCCCTCCTATCCCAACTCATTACATACCGGTGTCTTTACCACTTCCGGAAACTGCTCCAGGCAAGTTTGCTAACAATCTCCAATATTCAGTGGACCAGGGGTTCTGATTCAGGATGCTGGTGATGGAGCTGAGGGATCTGTAGTTTGCAGAAGAGAAGGCTTAGGGATGGGCACCTAGAGACAGAAGAAGAGGCGCCTGTAGCAAAGAAAGATAGGTAGGTAAATAATGCCCCAGGTTACTACAGCACACACTTTTTGTTAAGAACTGTTGCAAAGACTACCTGTCAATTCTTTCCTTTCTTAACCTCTTAGTATTTCTTTTTACCTAGTTGGCCCCTACCCTATCTTTCTGGAAATACTTTCTCCCCCTGTCCTTATTAACTTTTCACCTACCTATTCGTCTCTGCTATAGGCTCCTCTTCTGGCTTTCTCTAGGTGCCCATCCCTAAGCCTTCTCTTTTCCCATTGAACTCTCCTTAAGCCATATTATCCATTTCTGTAGCTTCATTGATACCTGGGGTTCTTAACCTGGGATCCATGTTGAGCCCTAGAATTTCCATCCAATATTCTGTGTACATGTACATGTTAATTTTTCTGGAGAGAGTTTTTTTTCAGGTTCTTTTAGATTATCAGAGCATGGCCCTCTAAGCCCTATTCGACCCACAAAAAAGTCAAGAGCCCTTCATCTATTCCTATATCTACATCTCCAACCCAGGTCTCTTGCTCCAACTTTCGTCTAGTATCCCAACTGTCCACTGGGCATCTTCACTTGTATGAATGGCAGGCTCTTGAAATAAAATATGGTTAAGCCTGACTTTATTATCTTTTTTTCCTCCTCCAAAAAGAACTGCCCCTCCTCTCTGCATCTCCTATCTTTCCCAAAAGCACCACCATTCATCCAGTTACTCAAGATGGGACTTTGCCAGAGTCTCCACGCTAATGTAAAGCTGACTCTTTCCTGATTAAAACACCAACATGACTTTCTAATGCTCTTAAAGTGAGGTCTGAGCTCTTTAACATGTATCCACAGCTCTTACCTTGCTTACCTTCACCTTCAGGACTTGCCACGTCCTCCCCACCTCCTTACCCCCTTATCCTTTAAACACCATTCGTACTGAACTTCTGCTGCCTCAGATCCTCCATGTCCAGACTCCCAACCTATAGAAACTGTGATATAAAATTAACACAATGAACCTCAGCCCAGCTCTTCTAGCAAGGTTGAAATTTCCAGAGCTATTCATTTTAATAAACATAATGCCTTTTAATATACAATTAATATGACTTTACTATATCCCTCAATAAATATATAAATTATTTAATTTTTCTTTGATTATTAATTATTCAATTAATTATTTGGTATATTTAATATTTATAAATTATTTTATTCATTTAGAAAAACTTGCATGTAAACATTTAAATTGTAAAATTAAGAAAAAATATGCCTGGCAAATAAAATTTCTCAGTTTTTGTTTTAGAACATAATTGTACCCAAATCTACATTACCTCCTCCTCCTCAACAACAAAGATCTAAGTCATAGACTCCAAAATTTGAACAGAAGAGATCAAAAGAATCCTTCATTTCCTTTACAGTACTCTTTGTCTCATCTCAGCATTATCCAAACCTACACTACTCAGAAGCTTCTCACACAGAAGGAGCTATTACAAAAAGGCTGCTTGCAATTAAATATTGCTGCATTAGAAATGCCTTCTGCCCTGGCATTTCAGAGCTCACTTCTTCTGCTCAGGGTAATAATTTTTCCTCTTCTCCAGAAGAATAAGCCAATATTATTGCTATATTATTGCATCTTAAATCTCAAATGCTCAACAACAAAAGCATATTTAATCAATCTACCACAACTAAGCTGCACAGCTATAACCAAAAGTCAGTATCATTGATAGCAAGTGTCATATCTGTATTGCTCACCATCACATTCCCATGAGAACAATAAACAAACATTTATTAAATGAATGAATGAACCTAACGTAACAAGACCTAATAGGACTGAATGCACTGATGTTATCCCAGGCTCCAAGCTAGACCTTTGGGATACAACTGTGAACAAAACAATCCCCTGCCTTCCCTCATAAATAGCTAACCTCACCCTAAAATAATGTACCCTTCACAAAGGCAGGTAGTTCTCAAATGCTCTCTCCAGGATTGCGGGCAGGGTCATTCTAAGCAAATTTTACTATATTCTCACCTTTTCCTCCAGTAATGCTATGTAACTGAAATATAACTATAAGTTAAATCAAGGGCATGTGTGAAAAGAGTGAGAAGCTATCTGGGAAGGGGAAGGGCAAGTTACCTGGTGGTCTCGGAACCGCAAACCACAGAAACCAACTCAATGAGTTCAGTAGCAAAGGAATGTATTGGAACGATAGTGGCCACAGAATTGATAGGAGGCTGGAGAACCAGGCTTGGGCAAAGACAGACTGGGTCGGACCAGAGTTGGTGCAACAGATACTCTGCTCGGCAGTCTGGTGGAGGCACCGAAGCTTGAGAGAATGGACTCCATCTTTTTTTTCCTGCCATTGCACTCCACCTGAGATTCAAAATCCAGAGAGAGTCCAACACTCTGGCTTGGGTTACAATAGTCAGGCTAGTGAGGGGAGAACAAGTCTGACAGTCCCAATTGGTGGCTGGGAAATGGATGACCACAAGACACCAGGTGACAATCAGGAACTGGGTATTTATCTGATCAACCTGAACATAAAGTCAGCCCTGCCCAGTAGCACTCCTTCAAAGACAAAGTAGATTTCAGTGGTTCCCAAAGTCATGAGGAAGGTGCTTGACTAGGTGGCCAACTTTGAAGCAGCTGCCATGTGAGCGATACCTAGGGTGCTGACTGGAGGCTTGGGTCACATGCTCCAGCCTTAGAGCCAGAAGTGGAGCCCCACCCCCAGCCCACAGGCTGGAAGAGGGAGATAGATGGTGGTTCTTCTAATCAAATCAGGGCTCTGTTAACTGAAAAAGAGGAAACAGTCCTGAGAGACGGGGATATCAAAAAGCAACAAATGTTCACTGCAGTCTACACCTTTTGCTGTCCAGCTTCCAAATATAATCTCTTCCCAAGTAAAGACAGCCCAGAACCTCATCAGATGACCGCATTCAGCTACAAATCCAAGATGTGCATTTTTCTTGGTCAGATTTAGATGGTCCGCCAACCTGAGGCTAAAGGATCAAACTAGCCAACGTCAATATTGGAGAGAGAACAAGTAACAACAGGAAAGACCTACCCCGTTTGGAAAAGGGGAGAAAAATGCACAGTATCCTACCACCATTGTCCATAATATATCCTGCTAAACAGAAATAGCCAAGACTGTTCCTTGAATGAGAAGTGAGTATCCTGCTTAGCTCACTGGTAGCCCCTAACTCTGCCTTCCGGGAAGCTATCCTTTGACCATTGATCACAGGACACTTTTGCCAAGGTTGAGGTCTATCTGAGAAGACTTTTAATCTCTAGGAGGCTTCTGGCTAATTCCAGAATTTAGACAGTTACTTGAGGATTCTGGTTTCCTGGCAGCAGTGTCAGTATTCTGCCATGTTCCTGGCCTCTGCCTAGAGCAATTATATACATGGACATTGGGTGGAGAGTCTTGCCCAATCTGACCTTTGACTCCAAACTATAGCCCAACTGCAT